CACTAGGGCAGCCTGGGCTCTCACCCCACAGGTGTCTCACCCCACAGACAGCGCAGGTGAACACTAGGGCAGCCTGGGCTCTCACCCCACAGGTGTCTTACCCCACAGACAGCGCAGGTGAACACTAGGACAGCCTGGGCTCTCACCCCACAGACAGAGCAGGTGAACACTAGGACAGCCTGGGCTCTTAACCCACAGGTGTCTCACCCCACAGACAGCGCAGGTGAACACTAGGACAGCCTGGGCTCTCACCCCACAGGTGTCTCCCCCCACAGACAGCGCAGGTGAACACTAGAGCAGCCTGGGCTCTTACCCTACAGACGGCGCAGGTGAACACTAGGGCAGCCTTGGCCGCGGCCTTCTGGTCGTGCCCCTGCTTCTTCTTCTGCTCCGCCTGCTTCTTCGCATTCTTCTGCTGGGACTGAATCTTCTGATGCCCACGGGCCATGGCTGCCGGGCCACCTAGGACAGAAAGGAAAGAAAGGAAAGTCAGCGGGGTGGGGGGGGGGGGCGAGGAAGACGAGGCGTTCAGTTCTGGGTGGCTGCACTGCCGTGGTGCCACACCAGTGAAGCACACCCAGCAGATGTGGGTACAAGTGCCAGGGGCTGTCGGACACGATCACCGGCCAAGTGGATGCCCTCCCCCAGCTCTCCAGGCTCAGAGCTTCAGGTCAACAGTCAGCAGAGCGACAGTAGTGGACTGTGTGGGTTTTAAATCAACATTTAGATCAACATGCTTTTGGGGGGGACAGGCGTTAATTTGAAAAATGCAAATGGATACCGAGGCTGTTACACTCAGCCTGGATTTAAAAGCCTTGCCGATGGGCCAGGAAGCCCACACGGGGGGGGGCTCCGCTTTCATTATCTCGGCTTATGCAAACAAATCGGAAGAAGGAAGCCTCCCTGTCCAGCCGAGATCGATTTTCTCGTCTGGTCTCCGAGAAGTCCCCACGGCCTCCCTCTCAAGAGAGGGGCAAGAAGGAACCGCCCATCCCCAGAGAGCTGGTGCCTGCCGAGGCCGCTGGGCTGGGCGGCTGTAAGACAGGCAGAAGACGCCCTCCACATGCCCGCGGTAGGAAAGGGAGGCCGGGCGGAGGTCAGGGCTCTGTCGGGGACACAGCGCCCCCTGTGGCCTTCTGTGCTCATGCGGGCAGGAGGGCAGCGTTTGCGAAAAAGCGACGAGCGATAAAAAGCGACACGATAAAAGACAAGTGGCGTGCAGGCAGGCAGGTGGAGAGATTGTACCTACGCTTCGTCACTCCCCCAAGTACAGTGGGCTGGACTGTGGGGTTCGAAACACATGGCTCACTGTTCCCTACGGGGGGCGCTAGAACAATAAATAACTGGCAATTATAAACTCATAAAGAACATTGACAGGTTACATATTCTAAGGTGCTTTGAAAGATGAAATGCCTCTTCCACGACAGGCAGGGTTCAAGTTTTAAACAGGAGATGACAGAAAAAGACTGATTACTCCAAGGTGCTACAGAGACTCGAGTTAAAGAGCCACGTGTTTAACAAGCTTCTTGGGAGCCACGACACATTAAAGAGAGCAGTTTGCTGAGCAATGGGGAGGTGTTGCTGCTCAGACTGAGAAATGACTCAATGAATTCCCCATCATGGCTTTTAAGAGTGAGGGTAAGGGGCGCTGGATGAATATACTTTTCCCAACTCCCGTTTGAGACCGCTAGATTTAATTTTGAATACTTCTACTTCGCCAATGTGACCACAACTGTAAAAGCTTGGAGGCGTAAAAAGAATCCTCATACAGAGGCTTTCGAGAGTCACCACAGTGGAGACAAACCGGAAAAAAAAAAAAAATATATGAAGCAGGGTGCCTATTTAAAAATATTCACTATGTAAGAATATTCATTGTAAGAAAGTGAAAACATTTGTGTCAGAAATAAAGTAAAAAAAGATCGGCCCACAGCATCAGCAGCACCTTGCAGCACAAACTTCCTTCTGCGCAATGGCTTTTATCTAAAAACTAGTTTATTTTAGGGACACCAGGATGCTTAAAAATAAGAGGATCATTTACCCATGTGGCTTGTTTGGCTGCTAATAGCCAACAGATCAGATAGATGTTACCCCCTCCATCGTTTCATACCTCCATCATCAATTAATTAAGTGCCTTATCACAGCAGGGGATACACAATCACAGTATTGATCGGGCTACTACTGGGCACCACGAGGCAAGCATAAAGTCTTGAAAATAGATTAGAAATAGAGGGCATCTGACCAGAGGAGTTCTGATGATTCATTTCACATGCACTGGTAGAGCAAGCCTTATAAGTGGGTTAGCAACAACAATTTAGGGCACACGCTATTATAAGCAATTAATCTCTGAAATATCCCAGGAGGGAACGAAGGAACAGAAAATGAAATAATTGACAAACGAATTAGGTCATTTAACAGTCCGGTTTTCAACACAGTAGTGCTGTGCGGAAGGAAACGGAGAAGCTGGCAATGTACAAAAATAAAACTGAACAAGTGTGTTAGTAAAGCACACGCTCAATATTAAGCACTTAAAATACAATGGGCTGCATTACACCTGCTACCGTATTTACTGTGTTTTTGTCAAGCACTGAGAAACTACCCTATAGATCCGCGCTATACAACCTAATCCTTCTAAATTACGTTCTAGTTTGGAAAATAAAACAGCATTTTATGAGCCACGTACCTTTTATTGAGCAGAATAACTCGGCCCTGTACCTCAACACATTATTTTAAATCTTATGCTGCGAAGACCGGTCGGGTACAAATAAATAACTACGGAGTGTTTTGAGGCACTACCTGCTAACACGCAGGGTAAGTAAGCCATTTCACGAACCCGTGCAGAGAAGAAAACTCCATACTCGCGAGTCATTTGCCGTTGACGAAGGAAGCACTTTCTAGAAAGGTCATCAGGAGGCAACGGCCCCGCTTTGCACATGCATGCAACTATATCCCTAAATAGCTCAGAGAAAGATAAGCACGTCGAAATGTATTTATTTTTTTTTATCGTTCATTAGCAGTCAATAAGGGAGTGGCTCAGTTACCAACTGGTGGGAGATTATTTTATTAAAAATCACTTCGACATTTACAGCGTCATTTCTGCATTTACATGTACAGCAACCTCTTTTGTCGCAAAATAAATCCTATGACTAAAACAACCTAAAGTAACAGCCAAGTAAATTTATGCGTAATTACAAAGTGGTTTTCGAGGCTTTTTAAATTGCTTGTGTTCTACCGATGAACTCCCCTTTCGTTGATAAGACGCCCGTTTAATGTCCGTTAACAGTCTGAGGTTACCTAGTCGCGTATTGCTAAATAATTTAAAAAAAAAAGATGTCAAGTGTAGCTGGAATTATACAAACGAAGAGTCATGTCAAGAGCTGGTTAAGTGATGTAGGGTTGCCCGTGTTTTTCTAAATCAATTTAAGTTTAGTGCCTTTTTTTAAACTTTCAATCTGTAGAGAAAACGACACCGGTAGCGCATAGTTCACTTGTGTTTGGAAACAACACAAAGAAAAACAGCCTCTTTTCGTGTAAAGCCAATAAGATAAAACGTGCAAGTCCGATGAACATGTTCATAAATATATATATTTTATTTTTCTGGCCGTGAAACACGTTACGTTGTTCAGAGGTCTTCAGCTTTGTTGCCGTCCGTCTCAGTCCACCCCCAGCTCTAACGCTGGTTTAAAAACAACCCCTCCACTTACCTCACCAATTTTAGTGTAAAACAAGCGAAACCCGAGGAGGCTTGGCGTAACAGTGCCAATACTTCCGGCCCCCTCTCTCTCCGCACGCCGGTGCTCCCACGCAGACCCCCTGTCCTCGCTCGCCCGCCCGCTGCGCGCCGCACTCGAAGCCGGTCACGACGGCTGACGGAGCAGGAGCTACAGCCGGGAGGAAATGTAGGCAGCGCCTCTTCCTGCAGGCACAGCAGGAGGAGGAGGAGGAGAAAGAAAGAGACTTTCAGACGGCGAGAGGAGAAGGAGGAGGAGACTCAACCTGCCTGCTGTTATGTAACAAACTTGCCTGCCTGACAAGGCGTTGCATTACAAAATAGGCGGGGTACAAAATTGCAGACCACAGCTATGATACATTATACCCTCCTCCCTTCCGATTCAGTTACGGAGTTCACGGAGGCTGTGGAAAAAATGAACACCGGGTCTCCTTTTTTTAAAATTAAATCCTGATGTACCTCTTTATTTTTAACTCTGATTTGGACGGCTCTGGTGCGATTGCGACATAACCGGACCTCGCACAACACGCTTGTTGCCAAAGGTGCTTGGTTGTTTTTCTGTGGAAATAGATAACGCGTGCGAGAAGAATCGTAAGGATTGTGAGTTTTCTTGAGTTTGTGAATCCGACATGAAGAATCAGGCAGATATTTAAAGCGTGCAGCACGGTGGTTAGCACCCAGCCTCCCAGTGAAAAACAAATGCTCAAACTGTTCAAAATTAAAACTGTATATTAAAAAAAATTGGTGAGTACTCAGGGGGTCCAGAAGAATGATCTTAGACAATGTTAAACAATGTAATGCAAAATATCCTCCTTCTAGCTTAGTGATATATTTTACATACAGTATCCGCAAACATTACTGTTACTATACTTGCAGGAGCAACTTTGTGTAACTCTTTCAAAAGCACAGTCTATAAGAGAAAATCAGGTATTAAGTCTTGGCTTAAGACCTATAGAGCATCCATTTATCTAACAAAAGTCTCCTAATATATCATTTTATCATGAATAATTAGTACTGGCTCCACTTCAGTGCAATGGGCTTCTGTCCAAATTGAAACAAATAACTTGTTTGTGTTCAGATGAAGTAAGTAGCTGAACTAATTTATAAACCCAGGCTTTGAAAAGAAATCTCTTCTGTTTGTTTAAAGGTTGGGGAGAGTCTTACTTCAAAAGGCGTAGGTGAAGTGCTATATTCCGGCGTACCCAATACGCCACATGAAATGTTTGCATTAACCGATGATTCTTCAGGAGTGCCATGTGCAGACTAATTGTTTGCAGGAAAAACCTTCCGAGTTCACTAAACAGCCCAGTCCCTCTCAACGGAGATTTCATTTTCTAGTAACGAAATAACTTTCCTCCTACATTTCATGGTTTTAATTCCATAAGACGTTCTTGTTTTTCCCAGAGCTTAGGTTAATTATCAGCCGTTTGAAGGCCAGTATGAGATAGGGTGAAAAACAGGTGGCGACCTTAACTTTTCTTCTCTCGGGTGAGCTTTTCATTTGGTTTTCGTCCTGTTGCTTTTGTCTTCTTTAATTTGTTTCTATTAAAGTGGGACTCAAAATCCTGCCTTCTGGAGAGACGTTCTGTGTCTTGGGGGCCAACACAGAAATAATGCCACAACCTGTGCATGGCATGGAGGCTGGCTTCCCTTCTCAGACAATATACGAGGAGGTCTGGGGCGTTTTGACAGACCAGTGTGAGAGGCTGCTGGTTTGAAGATATTCCAGCATCTGTTAACATCTCGGTCCCCTCCCTCCGCAATGGTTGAGATTGAAAAATAAAGGAAAACAATATCACCATTTGTACATAAAAAGCTTTGGTTTGATTTAAAAAAAAAACAGTTTACAGTGGTATCTCTCCTGAGATGTAGTCTTCCGCAGAAAGGTGATGGGAACCACAATGACTTGCTGACATAAATTCTGACCTCTTCACCCTGGTCTCTTGTTAGCCAATGTAGCAGCCTGCCAGCGTGCGGTTCGATTGAGATGAGAAAAACATCTCATTATTCAGGAACAAGAACAGGTTAAAGGGGTGCTGCAGAGCTAATTTTAAATGTCTGGGTTGGAAAGAATCTGCACTGATGAGTGCATTTCAAACCAAAATAAAAGTAAAATGTACACAGCAACTTGTAACAGGTCCAAGCTACAACACAGAATAGACAACATTTTCAGGTATGCACAGCGCCATGTTGGGCAATTCAGAACGATGCAACAAAACGTCTGGTGACGTGTTGTGGCCCTATTACATTGTAAACAAGCAGGCTTGTGAATACAGCTTTTTAAGTCCAATGGAAATATTGCTTTCGATTATGAGACGGTCTTGCCCATCAAATGCCACTAACTTGTTAATTCTGCATACAGATCACATCGGAACATTTCAGCTGCACAACCTGTACTTACTCGCTCGTACATCACAGCACACGAGTCATTGCAGGGACTAGTGAGCAGGAAGGGCCGCCTCACATCACCACCCACGTGAACTCTCACTCTTGCCAGTGGTGAGACCAGGGGTTTGCGACAGCGTGGCGAGACACGGTACTTTCACAAAGTTTACGATCTTGTGCTGAATTCGAAATTTGTCAAATGTTTCAGCACCGTCAATGCATTTACCATGCAAACGCGTTGTGTTCATTGTGTTTTGCAATAAAATACTAACTTCAGAGTAACTCGTAAAACTACTGAACAATCTAAAAGCAGGCATACGAAATTCTTAGTACTGTTACAAGCAACAAGTGAAAATGAGCTCTGGCAGCGTTTCTTTAGCTTAAGACAAAGTCCTCATATGAGAGACCTTTGCAAACTAGCTGTCATTTGAACGGGAATTTGCCAACTCTCTACACAGTGACGAGATTATCGCCATATTCAATTGCAAGCCCCGATGCCTGCGTCTGGTCTAGAAGGCGAAAACCTCACCAGAGGTAGGCACTGATTGTTTTTTTACCATGATTTAATAAGTGGTCTGAGAAAAAGGGGACTGCTGTTTCCCTTTACATCCTTGCTGAAAAGTAGGAAGAAGGAACCGAGCTCGAGCCTGCCACCTGAAGAAGTGTGAAATTCACCCTTGCTTGTTCCTTTTGCAGCACCGCAGGCTGACACAGCACCTAGCTCGAAGGTCTTATGATTTATCCCTTCCTACCCTATGCCTGCTGAGAATGCATTCTAGCAGGGCCCTCTGTGTCAAAACACCAAATAATGGATTTTCGTCAGATTTTCCACATCTCCACAGGCATAGTGAATGGTAAATCTATTACACCAGCAGCTTCAATGGCAAGTGTAAATTCATTGGGAAGGGCGGACAGAATGCTGGATAACAGATACATGTACAATTCCTTCAGTCAAAGAAAGGATCGGACTTGTTAATAGGATAATCCAGTTCTGGGTGAAACTGATTTCTGCAAATTAGTAGGCTCCTGTTGTATGCGCTATACCGGCAGTGGGGGTTTAATGTTTGAAATAAAAAAGGGCCACTTTAGTTTTTTTTTGTCTGAAACGTGAAGCAAAACAAGGTCCAAAAGGGTCGTGTTTTAAAGAGCAGAATCTGGAAAAACGGTCTTTTCGGAAACGTTTTTAAATTCAAATCCCTCGAGTGGTGCATAAATCAAATTCCTCATGTTTTGTGGCTGTTGAACATGTTTTGGCTGTTGTACCTTTTAAAGTATTGCTGACAAAACTATCGTTTGACAGGCGGTGCGATGGAGAGAGGTAAAATGCCTGAAACGCAGAACAAGAAGACCTTTTAAATTCGGCACAGAAATCACTTCTTAACTGTGCAGGCCTATGGTGCGAGGCAGGAGCGTAGCCAGGAATTGATTTTTGGGTGGGTCTGTGCAAAAGTGGGTGGCCCGGGCTCTAATTGACCGTCCTGCCAGCATAGGGGCACCCCTCCAATTTACAATGCAATCCTCGAGCGGTTTAATCAAACAACAGAATTAACGGCACCTTATATATACATACTGTCTCTCTCTCTCACACACACAGGTTAAGCAACACTTATCTAGGCTGCCGAACGCTACTGTGCCACAGCGGACACACACACACACAAAAAAACAAACAGTGCCTACCTCTGTTGCGAGGTTTTCGCCTTCTAGACCAGACGCAGGCGTCGGGGCTTGCAATTGAATATGGCGATAATCTCGTCACTGTGTAGAGAGTCGGCAAATTCCCGTTCAAATGACAGCTAGTTTGCAAAGGTCTCTCATATGAGGACTTTGTCTTAAGCTAAAGAAACGCTGCCAGAGCTCATTTTCACTTGTTGCT